CACGCACGCACGCACGCACACAGGCAAACACACACAGTCACACACACACACACCCACACACACACCACACACACATACACATGCACACACACGTACGCGCACACACACACACACACACACACACACACACACACACACACACATAATATACCATTTTAAATTGTTTTCCCAGGTGAAATTTGGAGTGTTTATCTTAATGTACAATGCATGCATGAAATAATTCGAACTAGATCTATGTATGCCAAATGTTCCACAAAAACAAAACGGAGAATTGCAGTGGCTAAGGCTAATTTCCATAAAATGGGCCCAATCCTGAGAAATAGAAACATTTCGATGACCACCAAAATGAAATTTCTGAAATGCTATGCATGGTCAACCCTTCTATATGGCTGTTAATGCTGGACCTTCACTAAAGAAGGTGAAAATAAAATAGAAGCAACAAAAATATGGTTTCTTAGGAGACAGCTGAGAAAAGAAATCAAATAAAGTATGCAGTGTTTGGGACACCTGAAAAGACACGAAGGTCTTGAACATCTAGCTCTAACTGGCAAAATTGAAGGCAAACGAGGCAGGGGTAGGCCCAGAGCAACCTACTTAGGGAACCTAAACAATAAATAGGTAGCGAGGAAAGATCAGGGAAACGTAGCTTTATTAAGAGCATCCGATCAAAGGAATGAGTGGAGAACCATGATCGCCGATGTCTGTCGCAGATCTGGCTTTGGATGATGATGATGATGATGATGATGATGATATAAGACTCTCAAGCTTTGGAAGACGACAAACTTTGGCAGCTATTTTCTCGCTAATATTACCTCTTACAACAGGCGACCCCCACTTCCTTCGATCGCAAATATCTCGACTTCTGTTCAAGATAGGCGTGTATTTTTTTCAGTTGAAATGGTCAAATAAACAAGCTTTAAGATATCAGTAACTCCAGACGCTCAAAATTTGACTAGCATCTGGTTCCAGGGCGTCCTGGCACATATTATATTTTTGTTTGATTTTCCTACCAGCTCTCTACTTATTCCTCGCACTGTCTGTCGTCAACATGGCTGCTACGATATTCTCAAACATCTCACCGGAAGTAAACGTCACAACAAGTCCTCTCCCACCACGTGACCCAGAGAGCCAGCAGCTGATCAGCCGAGAATTCCGAGACATGTTCGAATATGTCATAGAACTCATCATGTTCTTCATCAACTCCTTCGGGGTACTGGCGAACGCCGTGAACATCCGGGTGTTTCTTCGCCAAGGAGTCGCCTCAGACACAACCACAATCGGCCTGTTCTCGCTCGCTATCTCCGACTTCATGGGGTGTATCTTCATGCTGCCCCCGTCCACCTGCTTCTTCTTCAGGGATCTCGATTTCGTCGACTTCCGAAACTGCACGGGCTACACAGCGATGACGTGCCACTACGCACACATCATCTTCTCACGCATCACTTGCTGGCTCACGGTTTACATCTCGATAGAACGCACGCTGTGTGTTCTTTTTCCTCTGAAGGTTAAATTCCTCCTCCGTCCCAAGCTGACGAAGCGAGTGGTCATCACTATCTACGTGTTTTGGATCATCTTCCACCTCCCGTACGCTACTAACACCTACATGGTTCCAGAATTTTCCCCAGTTTATAACGCAAGCATCGTACAGATCAAAGAGACATCGATAGCCCAGACGTTTCTGTATATCAACCTTCTCCTGGCGACCACCATCCTCACCACTATAGCTATGATTGTCGTAGCCATCAACACAGCCATCTTACTCAACAAGCTAAAGTCCGCCAGTAAGTGGCGTCGCGAGGTCACCTCTGCCGCCTCACTGTCGTCGTCGTCCGCCCATCCTCCAGTCACTTCCTCCAAAAGGTCCGGGTTCAAACCTGTGTCTAGCAAGGAGAAGGAAGTGGTCAGTACGGTGACCAGCATCACCGCCATCTACCTGGCGGGCAGCCATATTCCCGCCATCGCCACGGTGAGCGTCCCTGGTCTGTCCTTGTCCGGCAGCAACAGCCACCTGTTCTACACGCTGTACTACTGCAAGTACTTCATGGACTCTCTCAGCTCCTCCGTCAACATCTTCTTCTACCTCAGACTCAGCTCCAGGTACAAGGCCGCCTTCTTCCACATCTACTTCCCCAACTCACTGGAGCTTCAAGGAATGGACGCCAAGTAGTTAGCACTGGGGGGGGGGGGTTC